TTTGATTTTGATTCAAACGCTTTCGGAAAATCAAATCGAAAATTTCAATTTTGATTTTTTGAATGTATAATAAATTTAAAACGATGTAGTTTTTGTCTTTTTCCCCTGATTTTTAACTTTAAATGACGTCGTATTGGTTTCATTCGAACACAGCATCCACCGTGGCATCTGAGTCGGATTCCGTTTGCAAATTAACGGGTTTGACTAACAGAGAGAAAGTCAATGTACTAATTAGCCAAAAAACATTATTGAAGTATGTATTTACCAATTTTAATAAGTTCAGGTACTGATTAACCTATCAAAATTGTTTGGGTATTTATTGGTACCAGATGATGGTGTTGAGTTACTAATCGGCCTTTTTCCCGCCTTTTAACATTCATTAAGTTGTAACCATGTGGATCATAGTGATGCTTATTCAAATGAACTTGTTTGGCTGAGGGATGATGTTATGAGACAAAGATGATCTCATTCAAAGCATATGTGGGCTCAATTAATCTCAAGGGATCACTCTATGAAGGAATACACTTTAACAGAAGGCTAAGGATAAAAAGCAACTAATTCATACAAGAATAGACTCCCATCTATCCAATGCCCCTGATTGATATTTCACCTTAACCCTAATGTCATGAAGAGCACACCTAAGATACCCTTTTTCCAAGGCTTTCATTTACTTCTCAACCCACCTCCCACTTTCATTCTCATTCTTTTTCTCACCAGGGGATTCAACTTTCATTTTCAAACTCTGGCATTGGTTTCTAAACTTCACACATAGCTCTTCCTCACTTGCACTCTCTAGCCTCTATTCTTATCTCTTTATACACTTGAGCCTTTTTGGCTTCTTTTCTTTCTTTCTTTTCACTTAGAGGCTAGTCTTTTCCTTTTCAACACAAGAGCTTTCTTTTCTTTGAACACTAGACCCCAAGCCACTTTCCTTTCTTTTCCATCCCTTAGTTCTCATCACAATCTTTCTCTTTTCCACTCACTGATTCCCCAAGATCCCCTCCTAACCTACTCTAGTCTCATGATGGAGAGCTAGATCTACATGACAGCCTACTTGTCGCTCTAAACTCAACACTTTCTGTCAAGTTTATTCAAAACAAGGCCTCACATCGCTCACTAGAGTGTTTAGGCTTCAAATATGGCTTAGTTAAGGGCAGGGAAAATTGTCTCAATGATGGAGATCGGCTACTTGGGTTAACAAGAGTGATAAAAAGGAAAAAGATAACCCAATTATGTATATGTATCCAAAAGTTCATCTGAGCAAGCATCACATAATAATTCCAAGTCAGGTTAAAAGTTCCACTTACTAAGGCTGAATTCAATTCAAAGCTTGCTTCAATCAAGGTGTAAATAATGCCACACATTTCATCACTTGCAAGCATCAAAGAACTAATAACTAGGCCATGAACTAAAATCTCAAAATGATGCTCACTCAAAGAAATCTATCATTACTCCCATGAAAAAGATGCAAACCTATATGATCATGCAACTCTATACTGAATCCCAACATGTGAATGCAGCTACATGAACATTTTTTGTGTGAAAATTTTCAAAATTTTCAATTTTTTTGAACATCTATGCATTCAGATGGCATGCATGATCAATGGGACTCAGATGCAAAGAGAAAATAAGACATAGAAACGTGATGTAGACACAAAACCCCTCCCCACACTTCAGTACACAGTCCATGTGTAATAAAAGCATGAGAAAGAGGATAAACAATATGAAAAAGATAAACTAAGAAAAAGAATATCTCAAGGGTGTTCGACTCAAACTACAGACTCTAGACTCATAGTGGGCGATTTAGACTTTTCCGGTTTACTCGAATCGATGTCAAAGCATTTCCAATTAGCCTCCGGGCGATTTATCTTCATCTGTTTCTGGGATTCCCATGGAACTGGAATAGACATGTGTATGATTAACAAACTCTTGACATCTTAATAACTAATCACTTAAATCTGAAAATTAACTCTCGCTCTCATGCCAGGAATAAGATCATGCATTGACTATTAAATTCGTTTGCTCACATCTTCTCTACAGGTAGCTTTCGACTCCTGTAGTGACTATGTTCTTCTGAAGCTACGTATGGATGATCTGATACAGCACTCTCGTGGCTCTGATCAGTCCTAGGCTCAGAGAATAGGTCATGAATCTACTCTCATGCCGTATGAACAACCTAGAAGAGATGAGATCCAGAATATGGTTTACAAACTTAGAAATCCTAATTAAACATGTATGCATATCGATGACTCTTTAGAAACTTGACTCTCTGGGACAGATCGACATGATGCAAGGAATTATAAAGACATGAAAGAATGCATAAGATGAAACAGAAAAAAGCTAATTATATAACAAGAGAAAGAACAATGGATCCAGGGAAGACTCCCCTTGTCCATCGCTTAACCCTAGAAAAAAAAAGTTTGGTGGCTCAAAATCTCATTACAGGAGCACACACCCGTTTTGGGCTGCTAATAAATGAATTTATAGGTCCTAAGGTCTTTCAGGTCGCATTTAGGGCTTCTCTGAAGAGGAATGGCAAATTGTCATCATCCTTGCTGCTAATGATAATTTAGACTGCGCTTCTCTATATCCATCGTAGAGAGGCTGTTTTGCAGCGTTTAACATATCATAAAAACGTTTCGCATCTACATTGGATTCCTCGACAATATCAACATACATTGCATCAGTAACCATATCATGCATCCTATCATGATCTTGACCCTCAAATTGATCCTCATTACTTTGTTAACCATTTGATGCTTCAAAATCTCCATGCTCTTGATGATTATTACTACTACTACCAGCACTCCTCCCCCCCCCGCCAGCATTCTGACCACTATTATTTTGACCATAACCCTCTCCATGTTGATACCAAATAAGTTGATACCAAATAAAGTATCGTGGCATAAACTCTCTATTAAATAAATACTTCCACATTGTGTCAATAAGAAAATTTTTCCAAATACATCCACTTTCGTAGATCGTATATAGACATTTTAATTTTACTTTGTGTTTTGTTTTCTAAACCAAAGTATATTAAAACTCATCAAAATTATATTCAAAAACTCAAAGATTCAAAAAATTGTGTCTTTGTAAGTTATTTTTTTTGTTTTGGAAGAATTATGTTAGAAGTGGGGGGTATTTATATAATTCTTGTTTGGGTAGCAAAAAATTTGCATTGAAATATTACATCGAAATTGTGCAAAATTCATTTCCTTGTAAACTCGATGTAATATCTATGTCAGACTTACGACAAAAATATACTTCGTTGTCAATTCGTCGGAAATTCGCCGTAATATCATGACGAAATTACGACGGAAAAAATTTACGTTGAATTTACAATGAAAAAATACATTATTTGTAAATTCGACGTAACTCCGTCGTAAATTTACGTCGACATTATTTCGACATAAAAAATCGATGGAAATCCGTCTGTTTCTTGTAGTGTAAGAGAAAGGTAAAGAACAAAGAACGTGGACGAAGGTGGAGATCGATGATGAATCCTCTCGGTGACTCCTTCTTCTCCCAAAGAAGGCAACTCCGATGGTGTTTGGCTCTTTTCTCTGCTCTCTCTCCACGGCTTGGTCATTAGAATCACCTAAAACGAGTATATATAGCCTTCTAATTCGTCGGGAATATCTAGGGTTTGAAGAATCAGTGGTGGGCTTAACTTGGGATTGAATTAGGTCATCTTGGGACGTCAATGATGTCTGGCCGCGTTCGTGGTGGTCCTGTCCGCGGGGAATCATGGTCTGGCCGCAGTCGCGGCTTATGCTCTCCTTCGAGACTACATTTTCTGTTTTTAGTGCATCGGGAATATCTGAAGATCTAACCATTGGATTGTCTCAAAAGCAATTGCATTACAAAGCTGGTTGCCTCCTCTATGTTGTTTCAGATTTTGGTGATGATCCGACGGTGAGAAAGGTCTTCATTGCTTGCCATACATCTGACGGTCATATTTATCCAAAATTGTTCTTTTGCTTCAAAATGCACTCTTTTGCTCCAAGTTTTCTGAAAAGTCTTTTAAAACTCGAAAACAAAGAAATCATTTAAAAACCATTGAAAACAGAGTTAATACACCCACATAAGATGTTAAAACAATCCATAAGTGGTCAAAATCAGGTGTTATCACAGACATTGAACCTCCACAATTCTTTGGCTATAGAAAGAAGAAATTTTTGAAGGAAGTTAGACACTATTTTTGGGATGAACCTTATCTCTATAAGAGATGTGTTGATGGTTTATTCAGAAGATGTGTAGCCGAAGAAGAAATGGAAGGAATATTATTTGGATGCCATAGTTCAGCATACACAGGACATTTTGCAACCTATAAAACCGTTTCCAAGATCCTCCAAGCAGGTTTCTGGTGGCCTACTATGTTCAAGGATACTCAAGCCTACATCTCACATTGTGATTCATGCCAACAAATGAGCAATATAAGTAAGTGAAATGAGATGCCTCAAAACTTCATTCTCGAAGTTAAAATTTTTGTTGTATGGGGGATTGATTTCATGAGACCTTTTCCAACTTCTTTTGGTAATCAATACATCGTAGTAGCCGTTGATTACGTCTCCAAGTGGGTGGAAGCAGTTGCCAGTCCTACTAATGACGCAAAAGTGGTTACGAAGTTGTTTAAATCGATCATATTTCCATGCTTCGGAATTCTTAGAATCATAATAAGCGATGGAGAATCCCATTTCATCAACAACGTTTTCAAGAAATTTCTTAGAAATAATGGAGTTACACATAAAGTTGCATCTCTATATCACCCTCAAACTAGTGGACAAGTGGAAATCTTTAACAGAGAAATCAAGTCGATTCTGCAAAAGACAACCAGCGTTAATCCCAAGGATTGGTCTGAAAAACTCGACAATGCACTTTGGGCCTATCGAAAAGCATACAAAACACCTTTAGGCACCAAACCGTTCAACCTTGTTTAGGAAAAATCATGTCATCTTCCTGTGAAACTCGATTACAAAGCAGAATAGGCTGTGAAGGAGATGAACATGAACCATAAGGCAGCTGACGAAAGAAGAATGCTTCAATTGCACGAGTTAGAAGAAATCAGACACAACGCCTATGAGAATTCCAAAATATACAAGGAGAAAACGAAGGCATATCATGACATGAAGATCATACATCGAACTTTTGTCCCTAAATACAAAGTGCTTCTTTTCAATTATCGGCTTAAGCTTTTTCCCGGAAAGTTGCGATCAAGATGGTCTGAACCTTTTACAATAAAGGAAGTCAAACCATATGGAGCCATTGTTCGTTGGGGTAAAAAGGGAGATATGTTCGTCGTGAATGGACAGCGTGTTAAGCCATACCTCGCAGAAGAAGAAGAAAGAGAAGAAATGCTCTTGACGGATCCACTAGGCTAGTGCAACAACAAAGTCAAGCTTGTGACTTTAAGGGCAACCCACTCGGTATTTTATTTATTCCCTTTGATTTGTATTTTCTATTTTTGTTGATTTGTTTTTGTTCCTTTTTTCAGGTTTTTAAGCAAAGAATGAATAAGAGACGAACAGAAATCACAAACCGGAAAACATAGAATAACTGCTGCTGCGTACACCTCACTAGCGGCACACTGCAAGGTAAGTACACCTAAACATTTCAAATTTCAATCCTTTTATATCTCGTCCTCTCATATATTTTTCAGACTGGAGACGTGTATGATTTAAGCCTAGGGGAGGATTTTCATCCTTTACTAACGAAATTTATTTGTTTTGAGTTTGTTTTTCATTAAAGATTTTTCATAAAAAAAGTTTTTCAAAAGGTTTTCAAAACAGGAACACAAGAAACATTTCTATGATGATTTTCGACCAGTGTCCTTCTACTTTATTTCCTTACGCTAGGTCTTTTATGGTTTAGAACTAGACTAGGCGGTAATTAGAGTACCTGCACTACGAACTCCCACCAGATGATTTCTATCCATGGAGATTCTTTCTGACAGGATATACTAGCTCATTTTATTTGGACCTAATTTGATATTTAATTTTCACATAACCAAACAATCATGAACAGGTTAGTTCATTCAATCAGGTGGCTCTCCTAGCTCTTGGAAAATACAGAAGCAGAAACTCGTTTACCGTTCAAGTACTGAAGCCGAATATCATGCATTATTTTTGACGGTACAAGAGCTCCTATGGATCAAGAATTTGTTGGCATCATTTGGTATTACCTTCTTGATAACACCATATTTTGACAATTTCTATGGATGGTTTTAAGATCTTATTCAGTTGGTCTAAATTATTTTTCAACTGTTTTTAAGTGATTTCCATGTTTTCAAGTTTCAAAAGAGTTTTCAGGATATTTGGACAAAAGGAATGTATTTTGGAGCAAAAATAAAATTTTGGATAAATTCCGGCCGTCGGAAGTTTGGCAACAAATGAAGACTTTTCCACCGTCCGATCATCCCCAAATTTGGACACAAGGTATAAAAATCAATCAGATTTTCAATACACTTAGAATCAAAGAAATCCAATGGTTAGATCACCAGATATGCTCGTGGGGAGCCTCAGAAGCTCATTTTAAAGCCGAAGTCATTCCCGTCATTATTCCTGCAAACCCTAGACATTCCTGAAGACTCTAGACACTATGTATACCTCTTTTAGGTTACTAAAAGAGGATGTTCCCAATTATGACGAGTTTCACCAAGAGTCTTAGAGAGCAGCTGCCTTCGAAGAGGAGCCACCGAGAGGGGCACCATCGGATTTCCTTCTTCACCTTTTTTTTATTTTCTTTACTTTTCTCTATTTCAATTTACAGCAACCTTAAATACTTTTGTGATGTTGAATTAAGCTATGTCTGAGTAGTTTCCTAGTTGGGTTATAAAGGGATTTTTAAATGAAATTTCATGTTTTGATTCGAAGAATTGTTAGATTTAGGATCTATCATCTTCTAGGACTCCTTCGTTCATTCTTGTTCTAAATGCATGTTTTCTTTGCTGGCCACTTAGAAACTGATCTTAGGTTTAATTGGAGCCACGAGAGTATTGTATCAAATTACCTGACCTAGAAGGAATACAAGCGAAATCCCTATAGGAGACGAAAGATACCTATAGAGAATCATGAGCATAAATGAATTATGTTAGTAATGCATGATCTCATTCGACGAAAGCTACTTGTCGAGTTTGAGTAATTAGTTGATTAGGGTGATGAGAGTTGGCTAATGTGTCTATTTGAGTTTGGGAACCTTACTATTTGATTATCTTTATCAATTTGTTTGTCTATCATTAGATCAGTTCATGAACCCCTGCGAATACCCTTAAGCCCAGCGCCTAGTTTCTATTGTTTTACAACCTTCTATTTCGTTTTGCATTTTAGATTTAGTGACACCAAAACCAAAACCCGCATTTTTTTGTTCTATTAGTCTTAAGTCCCTGATTGATTCGCACTGAAAACTCATAATCCTTGTGGAGCGATACCCTTAATACTACATCGCACGAGTGTGCACTTGCAGGATACTAGGGTTCTATAAATTTAGAACTTAATCTGCGACTCCCTAACCCTAGCTTGCATCACTTCTCGATTCCTATGCCTTTACATTGTGACAAGAAGTCAGCTCTTTCTTTGGCTGCTAATGTGGTCTTTCATGAGTGTACTAAGCATGTCGAGAATGATTGTCATTTCATTTGTGATAAAAATTTTCGCGGCACTATTGCTACTCGGCATGTTTTCTACGCATTCACAACTGGCTAACATTTTTACAAAGGAAATTGGGCGCAGGGAGTTTGAAGATTTTCTCTCCAAGTTGGGCTTTCTGATCTTCACACTCCAACTTTAGGAGGGGTATTACGGATATATATATATATATATATATATATATATATATATATATATATATCCATATATCCGTCTATTGGGATTTAGTCGTATATACTTTGTGAATATTTCCATATCTTTCTAGTTGCGTAATCTTCCTAAATATGTGGAAAGCTAGGTTAAACTTGTTTGTATATAAGTAAGATCGTTTGATCATTGTTGATAACAAGAAATCTTAAACAAGTTCTTTTTCAAGTTCTTGTGGGTTGAACTCCCCTTGATGTTGTAGCCTAAGAGGTATTAAATCCAATATGTGATGTCTAGATACCAGAATGTATGGATTCAGTCTTAATCCAAGCAAACAAAATGAGTTAGTTTTGTGACAAGTGATGAAATGAAACTAAACAAGATTAACAAAATGATTAAAGACAAACAAAGCAAGCAAAACAGATGATGATGATGACTATAAGATGATAAAACTTAGAGCTCTAGACATGATAGTTGGCTAGGGTGCATAAGGGTCTAACCAATGAACTAATGACAATGATGATAAATGATATAATCAGCTCAGGATTCCAAAGAAGTCTTAATCTTTCTAAAGCATTAAAAAACTAAACCAAATATTGCTCATACCTAAGTATCATTAGAGACACAATGAAAGGAATTCATTAGAAATCAATCCCAATATACCATCCATGCTTAAAACAAACATTCCCATGTGAATCAAACAATAGATTTTTGATTTAGCTGGTTTAGGCATTTCATCAAACACCTTGTGGATGGAAAATGCCTAAAATCTGGTTTAAGTGATTATCAGAAACCCATCATTAAAATTAGCTAAGAAAGAAGAAGATGCATAAATCTAGCCCTAAACAACCTTAATCAAACCCCTAAGCACCCTAACTTACATATCTAGAACCCTAATGAGGTGACCACCCACTAATCATATTTAACTCTATTTCATTTGCAAGAAGAGAAGTTAAACATGATTAGTTGATGAAGAAATATAGAAGATGTAATGATAGAGATGGATTGATGATTAAAAACTCAATAACTCTTTTGGATTAAGGAAAGGAAGGAGATTTCTCTCACAGAGGTATGTCTTAACACAAAAGAGGCAAAAAGCTTAAATGTATAAAGGATGATCCAAAGGGTAAAACCCTAAAATGTATTTATAGTGATTCTCAAAGTTCAGGGAAAAGTGCGATTGAGGTTTCACCGATGAACACATCTCCATGAGGTTGCTCGGTCTGGAGAAGAGTCTTGAATCACAGGAAATTGCACTGGAGTGCTTTTGGGCGATGTTCATTCCGGTGTAAAAAACGTTGTCAGGATGAACTTAGTCGGTGTGGTTCTGAAGAAGATTGGTGTAAGGTTTGGTTTACTACAGCCAGCAATACCCTGGTGTAGACCTCGGTGTCATATTCAAAGAAAGAAACCCTCCGAATATAGCTTACTTCGACCCAATCTTCCCGGTGCTCAACTGGTGTAAACAAGGATCACTTCGCACTTAAACCTCCATAATTTTCCATTCACCGATCCGGAACTAAATTTTCCAGCTCCAGGAGAAAGTCACGTCAAGTAGATCCAACTTTGGTGAACGGACCATATGCATCCGGAGAGAGCAAGGCTACCGTCTTACCGGTTCTTTGAACCGCATCGAATAGGTCTTGATCGGCCGCAAAACATGTGCTTCTTTCGTCTGCAATATCTCCCATCTAACAACTCCAAATCGTCTGTTTCCAAGTATTCTGGAAACTAGACTCAACCTTCTTGATTTTTTTGTGAAGACACCATAGGTTGAATTGCATTGCAGGTCCTCCGTCTCGGGTAATCTTGTAGAGGTAATCTCAGCTCCAAAGCACTTGCCCATCTTTAAGCTCAATGGTGAGGAGTTCCTCTGTGGTTTCAGCTCCAGTTTGCTCCCAAATGACTCCAAATCACCTGAGAACACTCCAAAAATGCAGGACACTCTAGGACCTAATGAAATTCATAACCAAAGACAAAATCTAATAAAAGTTCCTATATGCATGCATGAGACTCAATATATGGACTAAAAATGCAATCCTAAACATGCTTAGATATGAGATAGAGAGGTTGAATGTTTGGGAGTACATATTCCAAAGCAAACTAGAACAAATGAGATAGAGAGGTTGAATGTTTGGGAGTTCATATTCCAAAGAGAGAGATAATCATTAAAAGAATTCAAAACTCATTGTCCTAGTTGCTAATTCTGAAGTGCATTGTAGACAAGATTACTCATAAAACACTAGCAATACTCATCAAAGCATCAGCCTTCACAAGAATTCCTAGTTCCAACCTGATAAGTTCCTCCTTTAGATCTTCACTCTAAGCACTAGATATCATAGTTTGGTAACGACTTGGGTATGAACTTAAAATTGAAATTAAGGGAATGATAGGTCACACAAAGGATGTGGAAGGCCTTTGATATACCAGGGGATTCGATGGATATGACACACCAAAGAATCGTTTGCTTGAAAGATATAACACACTCACAAGCTAAGATGTTCAAAGAACAAATGATCTAACTTAGAAAGAGTCTTTTTTTTTATAGAAAGATAGATGATTCTAACAAGGATCGTACAAGGGTTTACAAGGAAAAAGAACAAGTCTGTGACAGCCAAGACTTGTCTCGGAAACAACTAAGACAATAAAGACTAAGTTTGAATAAGGAAGAAACACGAAAGAAACTCTTCTTCTCCAGGCCGAGTCATCTAG